GGGGGGGGGGGGGGGGGGGGGGGGGGGGGGGGGGGGGGGGGGGGGGGGGGGGGGGAGCAGAGACGCACACGACGGCTGTTGTGATTTTGGGGGATGGGGTGCGTGTGTTTCTGCCTGCATGGTGTACGTGTGTTTACTTCTTTCGGGTGTGAACAATATCTGTCTGTGTCTCGTCCAACTCTCCCTCTCTCTGGCTTCCTCCCTCTCTGCCTTTCTTGTTTGAACATACTCCTGTTCCTACTACTGAAGGTATCATACATACAATCGCCGACATCACCTACCCGTTCGAGCAAATAGCCCAATCGAACGCGAGTGTTCAAGTCATATAACAGCCGAGAAGGGTTAATAAACCTGCCGGACACTGAAGAGCTCGTTGTTGCCCATATGCTGCTGCTACGGCTTCTGCCGCTGCCACAACGCCACTATATTGCCGTTCTTTCCTTGCACTACTGAAAGCGCCATTGCTTGCTGAACTAGTTTTCTCACCTTGTCTTCCTCTGTCCCATGGATCCGCGCCAAATGCTCCGCACCGCCTCTCGCCGACCCAGACATGCCATTCCTTTGGACCCACATCAGCAAAGAAGGGGGACCCGCCGTTTGGACATTATCGAGGGGTTAGGGGAGGGCGATAAAAGCGCGGCATCAAGCGTTGTGCATGGTACCACTTGGTCCGGATATGTAGGGGACCCACGGGGACATTCACGTTTGTACCCGAATGGTCCTTACACAATATCTTCAAACAGAACGGTGTTAAGCAGTCGTATGGGAGCATGAGAGAACACAGCAGGCGGTAACAACAGCAGAAACCTCATCAATAGCAACAGCAAAAGTCGTACCCACGTCCAGGTCATGTAAACACAATATCTTCAAACGAAATGGTGAAAAGCAACCGTATGGGAGCATGAGGAAATACAGCAGACGGTAACAACAGCAGTAACCTCATCAACTGCAACAGCGAAAGTCGCAACCGCATCCAGGCCACGTAATGGCACACAAACTAAGGACACTCCCTGGTTGCAGGACGCAATTCTTTCAGAAGCATTGCGGCCCCGTAGAACGCAAACACATAGGTTGTAGTCGTAGCCGTGCATGGTGTAGTCGCTAGACCATATTGACTTTGCATCCGTACAAAAGGGGGGGAATAGTTCCAAGGATTCCTCCCCCCGCTCTAACGCTTCAGCGAAGCAACGAGAGTCCCTAAACCCGGGACGGCCGGTGTACTGCGAGGCGACCCGAGTCGCTAAGCAGAAGCAACCACCCGATCGACTCCCCCCCACACCACACGTCACGCCGCCCAAGCACCCGATGTACATAATACCAAGAATGTTCTCAGTAAATCAGGAACGGAAGTCAAGAACGGAAGTCAGGGGGTCGAAGATGTTTAAATGCCATCGTAGCCTGAACCATAAACCTATGCCGACTTGAGATTGGCGGTTGCGAATTTGAGGACTCCGTCGGCACCTTCATAGAAATCAAGAACACCCGCCTCCCTCAACCAATCACCTGTCGCGAGGGTTGCGATCCATGCCCCCCCCCCCATACATGCCCATGCCTCCGC